TTCAATTTTTTTCTCCGTCTCTGCATTTTTTATATTGATACATGCAATAGAAGCTGAGAAAAAAATAAAACGTGAAAACACATTTCTCATTGTATCTCTGCAGCAGATTGCCCTAGGAGGTTAATTTCTTGTAAATAAACATTTTTTTATCTCTTTCATATGAGTATCGCGATTATCGAATTAGCTTGGGGGCACTTTTCACCTCCTTATTCGGCTATACCCTTGTACATATTATTGTTACTTTTTCAAAACATAATCTTTATTTCAATAAGAAAGAAATGTTTTCCAAATTTTATGGAAATAAGAACTTATTCTTAAACAGGTTCCCAAACAGTAGTTGGTAACTAAACAAGTGCAAGGTTATGTGAAGGAGCCGCCCCCCCCCCCAATGCCTCAACGACTGTAATCAAATGCCAAAATGCGCCATGACGATCTTTATATTTTCTGATATGCTATATAGAGAGACCGTTATGCTGAGAACTACAGGAAAAAACATCGATATTTTGTAAGAAAAAAAATTGGGGGTTCCTGAGATCGAAAAAGTGTTTTGCTTTCTTCGTCACGTAGTTTAGTGAATTTACATGCTTTGGCGGTCCTGAATGCCGAAAACTATTTTTTCCCCTCAAAAGTCTGTGTGTGAACAACACCAGCGCATACATCGTACACAGGATTTTCACCAAGATGGATATTCCCTGATCGATCTGGGTGATGTCTTGCGCCCCCCCCCCTTTCGAATGGGATCTTTTAACCCTCGCTCAAGTAAACCTTCGCATTAACGCATATTCCAAGGAACCGAAACAATCGGAGTTCATGTTATCGGAGTATTATAAATGACCGTATTATAGTAATCCCATGCTGGCACCCAAGTTTTGTTGTGTTACGCGAAATTCGTGTTAACCGTGAGTTCGTGCTAACGTGAGTTTACTATATTATATCTGGGCTCTTCTTGAACCCTACGATCATTAATATGTTAATATTTTTTAGAGTACTTGCAGGGTAATTTCTAGAAGACGGATATGCCTTTGTGCACGTATTAACCACGTACCAAACCAGTTTTAGACATTTTTCAAATTTTATTATGGAATTATTAATATTTTCGTTACATGGGGCAGGTGTGACCTAAGATATATTTAATATAATTAATATTTTCCCATTCTCATTTGAAACTTCTTGCCATGAACATCAAAAAATGTCTGATACCGTCAATATTTCATTTACCTCGAAATAACTTTCACAAACTCATAAATATTTCTAAATAATTATGTATCAACAATGGAGGCTACATACGATGGAGGTTATTATTTATATAAAATATTTATTGTGAATAAATTATATTATCTGTTATAAAATGTTATAAATAAAAAAATAAAGCTTTGTTATAAAATCAAACATTTACACTCAGTATATTGCCGTACACATTCGTTTTTATCATTTCCAAATGTCAGTAAAGTTTGGAATTGAAAAAGACGTCGGGTTTAGTATTTGATAGAAAAAAAGCAGATACGGTGCAAGGGTTGCGGGTAATTTACATGAAGACTCTAGAACATTTTCAAAATTTTCAAAATGTGGTTTCAAATTTGTGTCTTCAATTTTTTCGCCCGAGTATAGCAAAGCTTGCTTATAAAATGGCGCGGATCAGACTTTCAATAGAACCTCTGAATTTTCTAAAATGTCATTTAAAATATTTTTGGACGTCCTTCTTACAGCTGAATTGACCCAGGCTGCTAGTTCATAGCAAAATTCAACTTTTATACCTAAAAACAAAGATTGATAGAGAATTGAATTGAGTTATCACTAATAGACTGAATGTTAGGGTCACAAAATGTCGGTCATTACGTCACGTTTCAAAACTCGTTTAGTAATACTACTAATAATATTGTTTGGATCATTGTTGGGTTTTATTGCTACTCCATTTTCGTTTAATGCATTACTAATTAATTTAAAGCCATGGGAAACCAAAGATAACATAATGTTGAGTCACCCTTGGATGATATAGAACTGAATTTCCTTACAAACGATAATTTTGGATGTGTTAGGAGCTGTTGAAATGTCGACTAGCGATATTAACATGAAGATGACTTGAACAAATGTCGCTCCTTACTATTGAAAAAGGCAAAATAAACACAAAAGTAATGAATCAAAAATACCTAGAATGGAGGATGATAAAGTTTACACGTAACTCGAAATTCTAGAAACTATGGAATATTATCATATTAAAAGCTCCCTTTAGAAATAATTCAGAAATTGCAAAACACTAACTAATTAAAATCATCTTATAGGAAAAATCTTACAAAGAAATGCAAATGCAATCTATGTCCATACGTATAATTTTGAGGATTGGTCTCCAAACTCTCTCTAAAATTCATGAACTCAATATCAACTTTTGCGCTATCACAACCATTAAGATCGTATTGAACTGTGTAGCTGTTGCGGCTCATGCCGGTTGCATGCATTTTCGCACTACAACAAAGAAAGTCTTTATTTAAAACTGCTTAATTGTGTACAAATAGTATACATATTTGTATCATTCATAATTTTGCTCGTGAGTCAAAATTGCATCACAATGTTATTCCTTTAACTAGTGGTGCTACTACAGAACATACTTTCTCGCTTTATTTTTAAATTTGTAGTGTTCGAAAATTCAAAGCGTTCAACGAAAATGAGACTATACTATTCTTTTAAGGGTTTATTGTTCTATTCATGGAAAAACGTTGAAGAAAACGTTTGGTGCGGTTTTTGATAATTAAAAATAATAATTTTCATCAACTACAAGCAGAAATTGCGCGAAAAATACTAGTTTTTTTTCTTCAAAAAATTGTACATGACCTTTTTTAAAAGTTTGATTTTTTAGAACAGATGTTCTTTATGAAAAGTTATATATCTTCAACATTGTACTTTTGAATGCTAACTTTCTGCTATTTTCGAAATTTCAGAGATCGCCAGAAATATGACTACTAGCAATTTTTGTACCGTCCTTAAATCCATACGACGAGAAAATTTAAAGACAATTGTTGCCGTTTCTGAGAAAAAATATTGTTTAAACAACGCCTATATTTCACGCAAAATTACTTTAAAACTATTAATATTTTTCGTAAAATTTCAAGATTTATCTTTCAACAAGCGATGTTATTAAAAGATAAAATCTCGATCTTTAATATTGTATAGCAAGAAAACTCCGAAATAAATTTTGAACTTTTGCAATTTTCGAAAAATCGAGGATTTCGTCAAAAAAAATATCTCCGCCGTTTTTTTATGCGTCTTTTACACTATCCAACGACAAAGTTTAATCAAAAAGTTTGGAAACATTTTTGAAAGAATTTTGAAAATATTGTTGAGTTTTCATGTAAAGTACCCCCAAAGATGAAAATATGTTTCAAACTCGCAGGGTCATCAGTTCCTTTAAATCGATCCAGAAATATCAATTTCGGAGAAAAAATGGCTGAACAGTTTAGGCTAGCATTGATCAGACACACGTTTTGCCGTCAATCGATTTTTCGGTAGCAAGGACCTTCAAAATATAAATTCTGACTACGTGTTAGAGCAGGGATTCCCAACTTCCCATCTTCATTGTTGTGAAGTGGTTACAAAATGTTGACTGTTTCTTAATTTTAAAAAGAATTTCTCCATTGTAGGGAGGATTTTCTTCCGCAATAGTTTCGTTGTAAAAGACAGTTATTATTTGTCGAATTTTCTAAACATCCTAAGGACTTATGTAGTTCTTGGATGCCTCGTCGCAAAAAGTCGAATTGGGGCCCATATAGGAAATAAAGTGAAGTTAAGAATTGTAAATCTAATTGGTATATTGGAACTGACTGGTGTATTGAAAAAATAAAATAAGCATGGAGTGCGATTTATTTTATTTTTATTTTTTCCGCGGGTGCCTTACTTCAAGCGACAGGTCCGAGGCACAGGTTGCATCAGCCTAGTTACGCCCCTGATTCTAAGAATGAATGACGGATACGAAAGGAAAGTGAATGAAAAGCGCATTACTACCTGGGAACCACAATGATACAGGACGAGCGAAGACAAACAATGGACTGCAAGCGTGGGGGGTATTATTTTGCCAATCACACATTTTTGAGGGCCCGAGCCGCCATTCCTAAGCAGAAGCATTAACCATGGACAAAAAAATATTCTGGAGGAGGCTATTGTGACAGGTAAAACGTAGATATTCTCTTTTGTTAGTAATTAGTGCCATTTGATCGCAATGAGATTTAACTAGAAGTCATTGTGTACAACACAGAATTTTCTACCAAAGGTTAATTTTAGTATTGACTAGTTAATACTAACATTCACGAGAGGTATTTGTTCGCACTATTTATCTAAAAAAACTCTAATATTAACAGAGTTTTGGGTTTTCTTAGCGACATTTTTGAGAAGAAGAACATCCTCTTCAAACTCCTCCTTATAGAGATATTCCGGAAAGAGAACCGCGCCGTGGTCGGAAGGAGATCGATACGAGCAGCGGCTGTACCATGGCAACGACAATTATCTGTTTTGCGAGCCACGATGTTCTGCACTTCTTCGCGCTTGGTGATCTGGTGGCCAGTTTCGGGAGTGCTCGGAGTCAGATCTGTGGAACCTGTTGGTTGGACCACCTGTTGCTCCTCTCGTTGGTGAATGATTGCGTAATGTGTGTCCATGCATCTGTCGTTAGTTCGTTTTAAGTATTCGGTGAACATTTAAATTGAATCAAAATTCTCCCAATGATAAATCCATAAATGTCATTCAACTAGTTTCACATAAATGAAACGTTAGATCATATTCATTGCACGTTATTATTCTATTTTCTTGATTAAATGCAGGGATTAACAGCCACTTCAAAAAATAACATGTTTTGAATGATATACGTGATTATTCAGCGATGTGAATTAATTTTAATTTTTTTAAAGTGATTTCATCTCCCTATAGCTGTGCTTGCTATAGAGTGCTTGCTAGTAGCCTAGAAGAAGAAATACATCAATTACGAAATTATGTTGAACAAACATCTTTTGTTGCAGGTGATTCTACCCACAAGAAAGCAATGGATAACATATCCAATAGATTGGAAGGTTTCACAATCCTCTTTGGTGTTGCTGAGATATTTGGTGCTTTGGCTGTCATTCTAGTGACTGTATGGCTTGGTTATTACCATAATGGTTTTGCTTGGCGTTCAGCACCTGCAGTGGAATTTAATTGGCATCCAGTACTTATGACAATTGGCATGGTATTTCTTTACGGAAACTGTAAGTAAAAAATTAGTTAACATAATGAAACTACTGAAATTATTCAGTGCATCATAAAAAAACACATTCGTGTTCCTGTAAATATTTGTAATGTGATTTTTTGTTAATAACAGTAGCATATTTGTGATAAGTAAATAATCTTTCAGGTGTGAAAGTGTTTTGAGTGAAAATATAACAATTTCTACTTTTTATATAAAACAGATTGTCTTCATGTTATTTTCTGGCTGGAAAGAAAGAACATTATACACTTTGCAAATAGTAATTTGGATAATATGTGATGATCTAGGAATTTATTCAGATATCATTGACAACTGTATCACTCATTGAATTATAACAAAACCATTTCTGCGAAATTAAGATTTGTATAATTAGTTGTTCAATTCAGGTTTTTTTCATGGTGTGTGACAATATTAAAAACATTTACTGCATTTAAATTTTGCTAGGGTTCTTCAAATACCTTGTCTAATAAAATTGGAATGTGGGATTGAATGGGATACACTTGATGATGATGATAAGAGTGATAATATAATAATAAAATAATATAATAATAATAATAATAATAATAATAATAATGATAATAATGATAATAATAATAATAATAATAATAATAATAATAATAAACGAAGTACAACAGAAAAAACATGTCTCCTCATTGATGTATCTGTCCCATGTACTGGAAATGTGACTGCAAAGTCTGCTGCGAAATACCTAAAATATAAAGATCTTGCAATCGAGGTCAGTCGAATGTGGAATGTTCGAACAGAGATAGTGCCAGTAATAATAGGCCCTGGGCTCCATTCCCAAAGATCTTACAAAGGGCTTGACTAGGATCCCAGGCTGCAGTAAGCACTAAAAAATTTAGGATATTGTGCTGCACGATACGGCGCACATTTTACGCGAGATATTGTAGAAACAATCAGATCGTGCATCGATTGTCTTAGGAAGCTCGATACAACCTGGAGTAGATTTTGATGCTCTGGCGGAACTTAAAATCATTCGCCGGGAGAGAGGGAGATAATAATAATAATAATAATGATAATGATTATAATAATAATGATAATGATGATGATGGTCAAGAACAAGCAGAGGTCGCGAAGGCTGAAGAGCCGTAGCTGCCACTTGCCTGAAGGGTCGTGGATTCGAATCCCGCCCGGGGCATGGATGTTTGTGTGTGTTTGTTTGTAATTGTCCATTCATCTTTCATCATTATCATTTTATACTTCATCCCCCGAGGGATAACAACCTTCGAGTGTGAAAATGAATTCAGCTTAGAAATACTGATTCCCACCCACCCCCACATAAAAAGCCACGTGCATTTACTCTGGGCCTCGATGGTACAGTTGTACGTTCGCATGGTCCTAAGATGACCGATTCGCGACAAAAAAGGAAGAATATAGAATACACCTTTCAGAATTCTAATTGACGTGTTTCTAAAAATAAAAACTTTGGACTTTAACATTTTAGTAAATGTACATCCCTACCTACTGTAGAATGTGCGGTTGAATGATTCTTCGGGTTTTATTTACTACCTACCTGATGACCGGATTTTAGATTTATTATATTTTAAGCAAAATTATTAATATTTTTTATATTTAAATTAGATACGACCTTTTGGTCTCAGAAGTCTTGGAACAAGAATTGATAGAAAGATCGTCAATGAACAAAATTACCATTTATTTATTTAACATCGAAAAAAGATTAAAAAAAGATGCGTGACGTACTATGGGGAGAAGTGTATTCTGTGCACTTTTCTTGTGTTCTGGGATCGCAACCCCAACTCATTGTAAATTAGTAAATTATGAATACATGTGAAAACAAAGTCTTTTTAGCCAGAATTGGTAAGAAAATATTCGCTCCTACCTACTACAAACTATTTGTAGAGGAAAATCAGCTACATATTTTGGCTACTATCCCTCATTTTGTGCTTCGTGAAGGAATCTACTTACAGGCGCTAGTACATGAAGAACGAATACTTGAACTATATTACTCATTGAGATTTGCAAAACGTGAACAGGTAGTGAAACTACATTTATATCCGGAAACAAAACTTGGGACCTACTCAGCATTCTCTCAAGGGATCAGGAAAGGGGGTTGGCGTAGTTTGAAATTTGATTCCTGAAGGTTTCTTGAATCGCTGAACACAAATATCTGGTTTGCCAACAACAACTTGCCTGGAAATACATTTTTTAATCAGAATGTGTAGCAGAAAAAGGCGACATTTTCAGTTTTTTTTTAAATAACTAAAAAACTTCATTTTTCGTAATTACCCTGTATGAGATAAAAGAATATCTGCAATAAAATTATCAACATTTAATGTCATTTAGATTTTTTATTCAGTAGTTTAGCCGTGAGAGCACCGCAACGTTTGATGATATACGCAAAAACAGCTTGAAAAAAAGCCATTTTTCGACAGAAAAACTCATCGGCGGGCCCTGGTAACGAAAAACGGATAAATCCTGTTTCTTTATGTCAGTGTAGTCTTTAGTTGAACGCGGGCCAATCAAACTTTTAGTATAGGAAAGTGCTGTTTACAGTGTACCGTAAATTTACTAAGACGAAGTTTTAAGGTTCGATTCCAGTAAAGCATTCTGTTTCTCGTTTTTGATTTAATTTGTTTCAGATCATTAAACGCACTTTCTCAAAAATGTGTACTGTTAAATAGCGATAAATTGGCAGCTAGAATTTAAGAAGTTTGAGAAAACGTTCTTCAGAAATGTTTCCAGAAAATTTCAGTGAAATTACTTTTTACTATGGTAGAATGAATCTGCCTGAAGACTACAAATTTCCATTTCGTAGGGCACCTCACTTCTATTTCCATTGTTGAACATTGTTGGTTTTAAGAAGATATAATCGTGGAATCTGTCCCGGGAACATTATTATTCATTATACATCATTATTATTAATATTAACACAAAATTATTCAGTGTTGAATATGTGTATATCTTTGGTGATGGTTTTTAATGAATTACACTCCACAGATTTTCATGAATTTAAAATTCGGCGTCTCATCTCCAATTGAGAATGCAAATTTTACAGAACTTGTTTTAATGATCTCGCCATCCCGAACAGACTTTTGACTCTCCCGTCCAGTTCGTATATACGGAGTAATATACTTAGTATAGGGAAAGTTATGTTTACCTTTTGGGGTCCCCTGATACCGAAAAAGTATTGTTTTTTTTCAAACGTCCATCTGGTGTCTGTGAAGTCGTTGGTAGTTGGTAGAGAATGTTGTTTCGTAATTGTTAACTATGAAAGAACCAGATGTCGTTATCTTCCGTACAGTACTGCCAGAATGTGCAGAAAGACTGGGAATTTAGCCGTTACCCTTTCTATGTGGCGACAACTGTGCATATGTTGACATTTCATATTAAATATTTTTCCGTTCCCTATTTGGTATTTGATATACTGTTTTATTAAATGAAATGTATTCTGAAAAATCGTTCTTTAAAAAAGATCACGTAATTTATTTAATAGTACATTAGCGTAACTTGCAAATTCGAATTTCCCGCCCTTCTTCCTCTCGTATCTTGGAAGACACGTCAGTTTAAAAGTCGCAGAATAACGTCTCATTATTGGGTGGTGTTTCTGGGTGTGTGGAACAGAGCTTTTTGCCGAATTTGTTGATGTATTATTTTGAATTAATTTTTCGTCTCTAATGCACTACGATTGATAATGAGTTAGAAGATAACGCGTTAGAAGATAAGATAACGCGTTAGAGATAAGATAACGCGTTAGAAGATAAGATAACGAGTTAGAGATAAGATAACGAGTTAGAAGATAAGATAACGAGTTAGAGATAAGATAACGAGTTAGAGATAAGATAACGCGTTAGAAGATAAGATAACGAGTTAGAGATAAGATAACGGGTTAGAAGATAAGATAACGAGTTAGAAGATAAGATAACGGGTTAGAAGATAAGATAACGGGTTAGAAGATAAGATAACGGGTTAACGAATATAAAGAATAACGGTTAGAAGATAAGATAACGCGTTAGAAATAGATAAGATAACGGGTTGAAGATAAGATAAACGGGTTAGAAAGTTAAGATAACGGTTAAGAAATAAGAATCGGGTTAGAAATAAGATAAGCCGGGTTGATTTAGAATACGGTAGAGATAAGATAACGGGCTTAGAAGATAAGATAACGGGTTAGGTAGAAATAGGGAGAATGGAGCTGTAGATAGATAGAAGATAGACGGGTTAGAAGATAGATAACGGGTTAGAAGATAAGAAAGGGTTTAGAGATAACGGGTTGAGATAGATAACGGGTTAGAGATAAGGTAGGTAACGGGTAGGTAAGATAACGGGTTAGAGAAGATAACGGGTTTAGAGATAAGATAACGGGTTTAGAAATAAGAACGGGTTAGAGATAATAACGGGGTTAGGAAGATAACGGGTAAGACAAGATAAATACGGTTAGGAAAGATAAGTCGGGTTAGATTAGATGGTAAAAATAAGATAACGCGGTTAGGAAGTAATAACGGGTTAGAGAGATAACGGGTTAGAAATATATGGCAGAAAAACGGGCATCGAGAAGACGCTTTAGAAGACGGGTAAAAATGACGTGGTTAGTGAAGTATAACGGTATAGAGGTTAGAATAACGGGTTTACGAGAAGGGAGATAACGGGTTAGGAGAATAACGGGTTAGGAGATACGGGTTGGAGCTACGAGATAGGAGTTAAGAGGGAGATAACGAGTGGATTAGGAACGAAGGTTTAGGAGATAACGGTTAGAGGATGATAGGTTAGAGATAACGGTTAGAGATACACGAGGTTAAGGAGATAAGGGTTTAGGAGATAACGAGGAGTTAGGAGACTAAACGAGTTAGGAGATAACGAAGTTAGGAGATAACAGTTACCGGAATAACGAGTTTCAAGGAGAATAAGAAGTTAGAGATAACGAGTTAGGAGAAACGAGTTAGGAGCAACGAGTTAGGAGATAACGAGTTAGGAGATAACGAGTTAGGAGATAACAGAGTTTAGGAAGATACAGTTGGGGTA